TAATTTATCATCTCTGCTCGTCTTCAGATGGACGATGGCTGCCCGCTGTGGATGTGGCGAGGCTCTGTGGAGGTGGACGCCGCACAGGGGGAGCTGCTCCACCGGCTGCTGAGGGAGCAGCAGCTGTGGGAGGAAGGCCTTCATCAGGCCGCCGTCATCCAGACCTTGTCCAAGGACGCAGACGTCTACCGCTACCTCCTTCAGGGCCGAGGCCACGGCCTGGGCTCGCAGCCCCTACAGGAGCACCTGCTAATCAGGTAATGAGCCACAGCGAGCCCGCGAGCGCTCGCCTCGACCTGCTGAGCCGTACGGAGCGGGGAGGACGGGGGAGTTGAAGCTGAAAGTACCCTCAAAGTGTCACTTTGAGTTACACTGAAACAAAGCATATCTTTTGTGTGCGTGAGGTTTGAATGGGGGGGTTGATGAAATTTTAATCCGAGCCTGAAGTCAGATGAGACGTGACAGTATCTGTGTTTACAGTCGCTCGGCGCCGCCGGTGCACCTTCAGACTCGCCTGCCGCTGCGAGCGCTGCGAGTGCTGCGAGCATGAACTCCGAGTCACCCTGACTAAGAACTAAAAATCACCACTTCTCCATAATGCATCCAAACGAGGTCTTTTACTTTCACCAAATCCCTCACGGACACCCAACCAGAACATTAGTGTGGCTGTGAGGACCCGCGGGCTTCAAATGAAAACGTCAATCTTTAAAAAATAAACAGTTTCATTTGTTTGAAGGAGGGAAAACACTGGAAGCAGCTGGTCGGGGTCTGTTTGAACCACCTTTGGTGTAACGCTTAATAACTTCCCCAGCTGATGGCCTACACTGAAGCACATCTGCATTTATTTACAGGACTTTCAACACATATTCAACAGAAATGAAATAAAAATGATATTTAGCACAAAGAAGGGTGATTGTTGGTAGTTTGGTTGGAGGTTGGAGTCCTTTTGCTTGAGAGGTGGCTTAGTTTAGATGTCAACGGCAAGACAAGCATCACTTGGACAGCAGCAGATTATCCCACACAGTAAAAATAATGTTGTGGGAGCAGGTTTGAACTAACATGAATCGCTCCCTCCTCAGGATCTGG